CCACCTGGGGCTGGGTGCATTCTGCCTGGTGCCCTGCTGACCTGACCCCAGCTGCCTTTCCCCTCTGGAAGGCAGCAAAGACCTGAGCTTGGACGAGCCCTGCTTGGGGTCAGACATGCTGTATTCATCCAGGCTGCAACCAGATCAGATAGACCAGCAAAACCTCCGCTGGTGACTCCTCACTGTCTACCCTGGCTCAGACATCTGCCAGGTCACTCACAGGAGCCACCGGGAGGCTGTCCTCCCTGCCAGGGGACCCCCAAGGTAACCCGTAGATGCCAGGCCACAGTCGGAGGCTAGATGGGAAGCCCTGTCCCATGAGCTCGCTCGGTCTGCCCCAATCACCCCCTTGGGCCTACTGACATAACTTACGATCCGTCTGAGAATCAACCAGGGATCTTCGTGAGTCCCTGCCCTACAGTTCTAAATTCACTGTTTGAAAAAGTCTCCGGCCTTGGATGCATTTCCTGTTTTCCAGGATTCCTCACCTTCTGACTGCCCTCCTGGCATCTCCAGCTCACGGAGTTCACAAACTTCAGTCCCCTGCAGCTCCTTGCGCTTTTGTTCTATTTTTTTAATGTTTTATTTATTTATTTATTGTTTTGAAACAGGGTCTCACTCTGTCACCTGGGCTGGTGGTGCAGTCTTGGCTCACTGCAGCCTCCACCTGCCGGGTTCAAGCAATTCTCCTGCCTCAACTTCCCAAGAAGCTGGAATTATAGGCATGCGCCACTACGCCTAGCTAATTTTGTGTTTTTATTAGAGACAGGGTTTCACCATGTTGGTGAGGCTGGTCTTGAACTCCCTCAATCACCTGTCTTGGCCTCCCAAAGTGCTGAGATTACAGGTGTGTGCCAATGTGCCCAGCCTTATTTTAATTTTTTTTAATTTCATTTTTTTTTTTTTTTTTTTGAGACCGAGTTTTGCACTTGTCACCCAGGCTGGAGTGCAATGGCACGATCTCGGCTCACTGCAACCTTCACCTCCCGGGTTCAAGCGATTCTCCTGCCTTAGCCTCCCAAGTAGCTGGGATTACAGGCGCCCACCACCACACCGTTAATTTTTCTATTTTTAGTAGAGATGGGGTTTCACCACGTTGACCAATTCCTGACCTCAGGTGATCCGCCCACCTCAGCCTCCCAAAGTGCTGGGATTACAGGCATGAGCCACCACATCCAGCCTATTTCTGTTTTTTAATATAAACAGGATCTCACTCGTCACCCGAGCTGGAGTGCAGTGGCTTGATCAAGGCTCACTGCAGCCTCGGCCTCCTGTGCGCAAGCAATCCTTCCACCTCAGCCTCCCAGGTGGCTGGGACTACAGGCACATGCCATCATGCCTGGTTAATCTTTTGATTTTTTGTGGAGATGGGGTCTCACTGTGTTGCCCAGGCTGGTCTGAAACTCCTGGCCTCAAGAGATCCTCCCACCTTGGCCTCCCAAAGTGCTGGGATTACAGGTGAGAGCTGCCATGCCCAGCCTTTTTTGTTCTTTGTAAATCTCTTCAGTTCCTGCTCCTTAGCCTCAGGGCCCTGCTCTTTCTGCTTTGGAGCAGTTCCTCCTCCAGCCGGAAGCCAGTGTTCTGTGGGTTGGGGGTCCCTGCCAGTAGCCTGTTCCAGCCTTGTCTTGCAAGTGGCTTTGGGAGGGACAGGTTGCAGCCCAGGTCCGCCCTGCTCCTTCCTGGAGTGTCTCACAGACTCAGGGGACACTGGCCCTCCAGGCCCTGCTTCCCTCAAGGTTTCCATCGCTTCTGATTCTTAGTAATTGGGAGCCGACGGATGCAACTCATCTTGGTTTACACTGAGATCAGGCCGCTTCCTAACTGTTGAGTCTGTTTGCTCTGGGCCTTTTAAGCCCAGCGTGATCCCTCTGAGTCCCTGCAGTGCATGTGCGCCATCTCCACATGTGGAGCCCCAGCCCAGGCTTGGTGTGGGCAGCGCTATGCCACACTCCCCTGGCTGCCTCCTGAGCACCTCCACCTGCCTCCCCACCAGGTGTGGCTGTGTTTTCCCCCCATGTCCACCTGGCACCCTTCCCCATCGCCAGGTAGTTACGGTCTGTGTGGGCGACACCTGAGGGTCACAACCAAACCAAGGACCACGGCACACTTCCGGGCAGGGGGACCGCCTCTGGTCAGCTGCTCACCTGCCAGCCCAAATCTTCCACTGATGACTTATGGGGTCAGAGGCCACCTAAGGGTCTAGAAAACAGTCTCCTCCAGTTGGCCAATGAAGACAAATACAGAGCCTGCCTGCCTATGTCGGGGTTACGGCCCAATAAACCCACAGCCAAGCTGAAAATCCTATGTGTCTTGCGCCTCTGACACAGCCAGGGCATCGCTGGATGCGCAGATACAGAGCTGGACACATTCTGGTGCTTGAGGGGTTTTTCCAGTGCCCCTCACCTTTCGCCCTGGAGGGTGGGGGAAGCCAGACAGCAGTGACTAAGCTGGAGCTGCAGCTTCTTCATCCCTGTGGCCCAGCCCCAAAGCAGCCTTGGGGACTTAAATTTCATTTTCCCCAGCAGGTGCACCTGGGCCAGGAACACACCAGTACCTCCTTGTTCTTCGCAGGGAAATGGAATCCAAGCAGGGGCCCAGATGCAGGCAGGCATCTCCTGGGAACGGGAGCCCCAGGACCCACCCCGGGGCCCCACTGCCAGGGTGGTTGCCTGGGGCATCTGGTCAGAGCCAGACCAGAACTGAGCAGGAGCTTCCAGGCATCTGTGTGTGGGAAGGGAGGCAAGTCCTTCGTAACCGCCATTTTCTCCCAGTTTTCATTCAATCTGGCCCCAAGCACGTTCTTTTTTTCCGAGATGGAGTCTCGCTCTGTCGCCCAGGCTGGAGTGCAGTGGCGCGATCTCAGCTTACTGCAACCTCCTCTCCCGGATTCAAGCGATTCTACTGCCTGAGCTTCCTAAGTAGCTGGGATTGCAGCAGTGAGCCACCGCGCCCGGCTCCCGAAGCCGGTTTTCTGTTCTCTTGCAGTTGGGCCGGGGCTGAGCCCTCGTGGGGGCAGGGGTTGCAGACCAGTGGACGCAGGGCTCACGCCGCACACACGTGGCCCCCGCCGGAGGACTCACGAGCCAGCGCCTGCGCGGCGGGGTGGCCACGGGGGGGGGGGGCAGGTTCAGGGCCAGGGGCGGGCCTCGTGGGGATTGGCAGGGCGCCGCCGCGGTCCCGTGAGCCTGGGGCCGGTTCCCGGGCGGTGGCCTTCAGCGCCGCGCTCCAGCCTGGGGAAGGGAGGACGCCACGCAGCAGCGCCGGAGCACCCGCGCGTCCCCAGGCTAGGCCCACCGCGCTCGGCGCCCCTCCGCGGCCGCTTTAAGGCGCCGGGCACGCCTCCATCGCTGGGGGCGTGGCCTAGAGGTCCCGCCCCCGGGGCGCGCGCGCGCATTGGCTGTGCGGGGTGCGGGCGCGCGGGCGGCGCTTTGAACCGCGCGCGGGGCGCGGGGCGCTGCGGGTCAGTCCACGCCGGGGTCGGGCCGGGGTCGGGCTGGAGTTGGGCTCTTCTGGGCCATGGCGGCCGAGGCGCGCGTGTCGCGCTGGTACTTCGGGGGGCTGGCCTCCTGCGGGGCCGCCTGCTGCACGCACCCGCTGGACCTGCTCAAGGTGAGGCCGGGGCCCGGAACGCGGGGAGGATGGGACCCTGGTGCCGCCCAGACGCCTACAACGGCAGCAGCCCGACCCCACGCACCCGGGGATCGCTGCGCCCGGGGCCCCCTCCTGGAGACACCGAGGAGGCCCCCAACGCCCGGGTGGCCGATCCCGGGTGTCCCTCGGCTGTTGGCCGCCGAGCTCGAGGCCTGCAGGGCACAGCCGGGCTCCCCAGCTTCCCGGCCGGCTTCCCAGTTCTCAGCAGGTGACGATCCAGCCCCAGCTCTGCACTTTAATACCTGGTGACCTTGGGCGAGTCACTTGGCCTGTCTGAGCTACCCACCCCCATACATTCAAGAACACTCTTTCCGCCCAGTTGGAAGTTGTGGGGGGAGTTCTGTGAGGTCCACAGATGTTGGCATCTGGAGACCTGCTGGCTGTAGCACACCCAGGGCATGGGCCAAGCCGCCCCCCACCCAGGGGTGCTTAGCACACCGCCGGACGTGGCCCTGGGCAAGTGGGGTGACCCTGCGCCCCGGCTTTGGGCTGCTTCCTCCGGAGAGCTGGGTGGGCACTGGAAGCAATGTTAGGACCAGCACACCCCCAGGAGAGATGCGGGAGACCCAGCACACCCCCAGGAGAGATGCGGGAGACCCAGAACACCCCCAGGAGAGATGAGGGAGACCCAAGACCCAGCACACCCCCAGGAGAGATGCAAGTGGAGACCCAGAACACCCCCAGGAGAGATGAGAGGGAGACCCAGAACACCCCAGGAGAGATGAGGGAGACCCAGAAATACCCCTGCAGGACAGATGGTGAGACTCCAGAACACCCCCAGGAGAGATGAGGGAGACCCAGAACACCCCCAGGAGAGATGAGGGAGACCCAGAACACCCCCAGGACAGATGCGGGAGACCCAGAACACCCCCAGGAGAGATGAGGGAGACCCAGAACACCCCCAGGAGAGATGCCAGGAGACCCCGCATGCGTGTGGTCCTGGCTTTATGAGAGAGGGCATTTCTCAGCACCAGAAGCAGCCACAGTTCTTTTACCTTTTTTTTTTTTTTTTTTTTTTTTTTAAAGCTTATGGGGCAAAATAAGACAGAGCTCTCCTTGTTTCCCAGGGACAGCCAAGGGGCATTGTTTTCTGACCCTGTCTTGCCACAGAGAACAAAGAAGAAAGGACCTAAGGCGTTGCACAGTCTGCCCAGCGGGCCCTGCCCTGTGAACCTGGCTGTGGTCACTGGGCAGCCACCGTCTGGGGGACCTTTATTTTAGCAGCCTGCCCAGGGGACTTGTATTCCAGCAGCTTTTGAGGGGATTGGCTTTACTAATGAGCAACATTGCTGGCCACTGTGTGAAGGCCAGGTGAGCAGATGTGGGCGTCTTGGGGTACCTGAGACCTCGCTGGTCCTGGGAGAGGCCTGCAGAGCTCCCAGGCCACAGGCAGCCAGGGCCAGTGAGATGCAGTCCCAGCAACAGGAAGGCACTGGCGTGGGCAGGAGGAGCTCCTCCTTGGCATCTGGCTCTTCCTTTCCTCCTGGGTGCCGCACAGGTGCCCCTCCCCCAGGGCCTCTCCCACGGGCCCTCTGGGTGTTGAAGGCCCTCTGAGCCTCACTGCCTCCTGGCCCCACCCCATCAGGCACTCTTTGGCTGCAGAACACTCTGGGGGAGGCAGGGAAGGCAGCCCATGTGGAGGCGGGACTGCCCTCTGGCCTGGGAGGGTAGAAGAAGCCAGCTGCTGGCAGCATATGGGGCTGTGGTCAGGGTGTGCCCCTGAGGACTGCTCACCAGGGCTCTCTGGCTGTGGAAAGATCGTTTTAAAGCTTCTTGATTACTCTGTCCCACGTGCCTACAGTCCCTACTGTGGCGTCTGGCCTGGACGGGGGCTACTGCGTGTGTGGCCCAGTCCCTCTGTTCTGCTGGGCTAGCACAATGGGAGGCCCCTCTCTGTCCCCACCCATCTTTGCCGCCCCCCCTGGGTGTGTGTGACAGGGACCGCGCATGTGCAGGTCACACTGGGCAGTGGATGGTTTTCTTTGGGGTCAGTGCTGGGAGTGGGACCCAGGAGCTGGGATCCTTGGCCAGATGCTGGCCTTCCTTTCTGGCCCTGGCCCTCCCCGCTTCTGTCTGGAGCTCTCAGCTGGCCAGGCCAGGAGGCAGAGGTCCTGTGAGTGGTGGAGGCCAACGGAATGGGAGGTTGTCAGGCTGATGGCCCCCGAGTGCCTGCCCGCAACTCCTAGGTGCTTTGTGGAAGAGGCTGCTATGCCCTGCCGCCAGCCGCACCATCGCCTTGTCCGCTGCTGAGCTCCTGCTGCCTTTCAAGGCCTTCTGGCTACCTCCTCAGTCTCCCATGGTCCTGCAGGCTCCCTGGCCGTTTCTGAGTCCCCGTAAACGTTTGTTCCTCTTGAGACATGGTGTGGTGGATAAAAAGTAGGGCTCTGGGGTCTCCTCGCTGGGCCCAAATCCTGATGGCACCAGCGGGTGCGTTACCGCTCCGTGCCTCAGTTTCCTCATCTGCAGAAGGAGAATGGCAAGCCCCTGAGGCCAGTGCAGCCAGGACTCAGGTGCAGCGCGGGCGCCCTCGGGGCTCACGGGCACTCTCAGTTCCATGTCCTCTGGCTCCATGTCCGCTGATGTGGTTGCTGTTGGAAAGCAATGGTGTGAGCTGGTTCCGAGCGGGGGTGTGGAGTCCCCGGGCAGGGCTATGGGAGGCCTTATCACTGTCTCCTGCCTCACTTTCCGCCTCTCTGGATGGACCTGGCACCGATCCCTTGGGGTCGCTGTGGGGTCTGAGAACACTCGCTCCCGCAGGTGCATCTGCAGACGCAGCAGGAGGTGAAGCTGCGCATGACGGGCATGGCACTGCGGGTGGTGCGCACTGACGGCATCCTGGCGCTCTACAGCGGCCTGAGCGCCTCACTGTGCAGACAGGTGTGCGGTGGGTGCCAGTCTCGGACTCCCCACGACCCCTCGGGGCTCCCAGACGGGCTCAGTCCTGCAGTGGGCATCCAAGCTACTTTGTCCTTGTTTCAAGACTTTGTGCAAGGAAGGACCTACCAGGCCGAGAGTTGGCGACCCCAGGGTGGGCCTTCCATGGGCAGCCACCCAGTTCTCAGGGCTGGGCCTGAGGCTGCCACTTACCGGTGGGGAAACTGAGGCCCAGGGAGGGAGAAAGCAGGGTGCAGCTCTAGATTTGTGAACTGGCTCAGCTGCATGCTGGCCCAATGGCCCCTCAGGGTCCCTGTGGACCCTTGGGCTGAGGGGGGCCCTGGCTGGGCCAGGGTGGTGAGGCTGAGGGGTGTGGGGCGTGCCTACCCCTCCAAGCCGGGCCCTTCTCCCCCAGATGACCTACTCCCTGACTCGGTTCGCCATCTACGAGACTGTGCGGGACCGCGTGGCCAAGGGCAGCCAGGGGCCCCTCCCCTTCCACCAGAAGGTGTTGCTGGGCTCCATCAGCGGTGAGCTGCCGGGTGGGAGGGGCACGGGGCAGGCAGGTGGGCTGAGGATACACACAGGGCAGGCAGGTGGGCTGAGGACACCACGTGTCATTCTGATCGTCTCTGGGGTTTGTGTCACCGCAGGTTTAGCTGGAGGCTTCGTGGGGACGCCCGCGGACTTGGTCAACGTCAGGTTGGTGTCCCCTCCACCCTACCTGCAAGGCTAGGGCCTACCAGGGCTGCTCGCAGGGTGGGGTCAGCCTAGAACAAGCCGCTCAGACCGTGGTGTCCTGGGCATAGGAGGGTGGGTGTCCCTGAGCCCCGGCGTGCCCTGTCCTGTGGGCCCCGCTGACCAACATAAGCTCCCCTGCTGCCCGTGGGGCTCTGCCAGGGCTGCCCAGGCCCCTCAGCCCGCCTGCCCCTCCTTCTGTTTCAGGATGCAGAATGACGTGAAGCTGCCCCAGGGTCAGCGGCGCAAGTGAGTCATGGGCAGCCCTGCCTTCTCGGGGTGGTTGGGGTGCCGGAGGCTTGGGCGGGAGCGGACCCCCAGCTGCTCTGCCATGACCTAGCCAGGACTCCAGCAGGCTGCGGTGCCTGTGTGGTCCATGGAGGGTCCTGACGGCTGTTCTGGACTCAGGGGTGTCACTCCGCCCCCCCAGGACCTTTGGGTTCTTCCTGCGGGGAGAGCCTGGTTGGATTGCGGGCTGGGGCTGTTTGCACCCAGGGCAGTGAGTGCGGAGGTGAAGGCCGCAGGTATGGAGAGAGCGCATGCAACAGAAACGCCTGAAGGAGGCACTGCCTCCCTGCCCAGCTCAGGGCAGCTGTACCCTCCTGCCGTGGCCTGGGGCCTTTCCAGGGCCTGGGGTCTGCTCCAACTGTAGCGTGAGCCATTTCCCCGCCGCTTCCAAGGACCCCTGGGGAGTTCTGGCTTCTAGCTGTGCACACAGACTGTGTTCCCTCAGGACTCCCGGGGGCTGGCAGGCAGGAGGCCTGTGTTTGACGAGCGGTGCCCATCCAGGGGCTCTGTTGGAAAAGATGGAACCTCCTCCCTGAGGGCCAGGCGGGGTGGATGGGGTGGCTATGGGACGGTAGGACCAGCCTCAGATGTTCCCAGGGAGAGATCTTCAGGCCCATGAGGCCTCTGCTTCCTCAAGAACCCCCGGCCTGCAACAGGGCCTGGGAGGACCCTCTGTGGGAACCAGTAGTCAGGGGGAGTCTCATGTGGTCATTCTGTGTCCCCGGCAGCTACGCCCATGCGCTGGATGGCCTATACCGCGTGGCTCGTGAAGGTGAGGGGCAGGTGCTGTGCACAGGCGAGGATCTGGGGTTGCAGGCAGGGTGGGCAGCGCTGTGCAGGACTGGGCACCAAGGGATTTGGGCCAGGTGCCTGGCCTCACCCCTTGCCTCACCCCTTGCTTGTGCAGAGGGTTTGAGGAGACTGTTCTCAGGTGCGACCATGGCGTCCAGCCGAGGGGCCTTAGTCACCGTGGGCCAGGTAGGCCTCCTGCGTGGGGTGGGTGTGGGCAGTGCCTGCGACCTCTGACCTCCATCTTCAGAGGGGCCATAGGACAAGGCACTGGGCACTAAGACCCTCCTGGGGAACCACCAGCTGTGGCCTTGGTGGGGCGGGATTGGGGGCATGGGTGGGTCAGGGCTGCAGCCTGTGAAGGACCTCGGGCAGGTGCCTCCCCTTTCTGGGCCTCACGGATGGACGGAGCAGGTGCTTGGCCATTGCCAGGTGGTGTCGTTGGGGCACTGTGTGCTTTCCCTGAGCTGGGCCCCCCCTGCAGCCCTGACCGCCCTTGTCCCCCTGCAGCTGTCCTGCTACGACCAGGCCAAGCAGCTGGTCCTTAGCACCGGGTACCTGTCTGACAACATCTTTACTCACTTTGTTGCCAGCTTTATTGCGGTAAGTGGCTGGCGTGGCTAGGGTGGGTGTCCCTGGGCCGGCCTTGGGAGCTGAGGGCACCCAGGATGGGGCGAGCGCTGGGGGAGGCGGGGGCCTCGAGCATCTGGCAGTCCCCCCTGGGGCTCATAAGTGGGTGCCAGGGCTTTGAGAGCCCATGGGTCAGCCTGGTGCCCCTGCCGGCATGTTCTGGGCCTCCCCGGGAGTCAGGTCGAGGGGCTCTTTCTGGACTGGCATGCGGGTGGGATTCGGCAGTGGTGCCAGGGGTACCTGGCAGGCTGCTGGTGACGAGCCCCCTCCCCAGGGTGGATGTGCCACGTTCCTGTGTCAGCCCCTGGATGTGCTGAAGACCCGTCTGATGAACTCCAAGGGGGAGTATCAGGTGAGTGGGGCCTGTGCAGTCAGGCTGTGCAGCCCAGCGAGTCCCCTCACCTCTCCGGGGCGCGGACACTCGCACTGGGAACCTGGGGAAGGGTACCCCTCCCTTCTAGTTGCCTATCTCTGCACAGCAGTTGGCCTCCGGAGAGGGGTCGTGCCTTTGAGTGCCTTTGCCTTGTTTTTGTTTTTAAAGATTTCTTGGCCCAGCACAGTGGCTCACGCCTGTAACCCCACACTTTGGGAGCCTGAGGCGGGCAGACCGCTTGAGTCTAGGAGTTCAAGACCTGCCTGGGCAATATACTGAAACCCCATCTCTACCAAAAATACAAAAATTAGAGGCCCAGCGCGGTGGCTCACGCTTATAATCCCAGCACTTTGGGAGGCCGAGGCGAGCGGATCACCTGAGTTCAGGAGTTCAAGACCAGCCTGGCCAACATGGTGAAACCCCATCTCTACTCAAAATACAAAAAATTAGCTGGGCGTGGTGGCGTGCGCCTGTAATCCCAGCTACTCAGGAGGCTGAGGCAGAAGAATTGCCTGAACCTGGGAGGCGGAGGTTGCAGTGAGCTGAGATCACACCATTGCACCCCAGCCTGGGCAACAAGAGTGAAACTCCGTCTCAAAAACAAAAACAAACAAACAAACAAAAATTAGTCAGGCTCGGTGGCATGTGCCTCCCCGCTACACAGCAGGCTGAAGTGAGATAATCCCTTGAGCCCAGGAGGTCCAGGTGACAGTGAGCCAAGATTGTACCACTGCATTCCAGCCTGGGTGACAGAGTGAGACTCTTGCAAAACATTTATTTTTGGCCAGGCGCGGTGGCTCACGCCTGTAATCCCAACACTTTGAGAGGCCAAGGCGGGCAGATCATGAGGTCAGGAGTTGGAGACCAGCCTCACCAACATGGTGAAACCCTGTCTCTACTAAAAATACAAAAATTAGCCGGGCATGGTGGCGGGCGCCTGTAGTCCCAGCTACTCAGGAGGCTGAGGCAGGAGAATTGCTTGAACTCGGGAGGCGAAGGTTGCAGTGAGCCGAGATTGCACCACTGCACTCTAGCCTGGGCAACAGAGCGAGATCTGTCTCAAAAAAACAACAAAAAACCTTTTCTTTTTTTTTTTCCCCCTCACTGCAACCTCCGCCTCGTGGGATCAAGATGATTCTCCTGCCTCAGCCTCCCAAGTAGCTGGGATTAAAGGCACATGGCACGGTGCCCGGTGAAGTTTTCTATTTTTAGTAGAGACAAGATTTCGCCATGTTTGCCAGGCTGGTCTTGAACTCCTGGCCTGAAGTGATCCGCCCGCCTCAGCCTCCCACAGTGCTGGGATTACAGGCGTGAGCCACTCTGCCCAGCCAAAGCATTTCTTTCACAGATTAACGGAGGTGGTGCTGCTCATGGCAGTTTGTGCCTCGTAAATGCTCTGGTTCTCCTCCCTCGGGCCCCCGCCAGCTCCATGGGGCTTCCACGTTTGCAGAGCCCATGGCTCTGTCCCTGCTCTTCTCCCTGACCCTGCTGTGCTGCGTCCCTGGTTCTCATGGTTCTGTTCACAGCCCCCTCCGCCCGCTGGATCCTGGGCTGCACCCTTGGGCCCTGGTTGTACTGCATGAGCAAGCAGGGCGGCCATTGACCTGGCCAGTGCCTGCAGACCTGTGGTCACCTGTTACCAGCCAGCAGCTGCCACTCACACCCACAACCCACATTGAGAGTCCCCAGGCCACCCCGCTTGGCTGGTGCCTGGGAGGGGATTTTCATTGCCCTGTGGGTGAGAAGCACCCTTTTTGATTGTTTCACTGCGTTTTCTGCAGGGCGTTTTCCACTGCGCCGTGGAGACAGCGAAGCTCGGGCCTCTGGCCTTTTACAAGGTGCAGTGGTGGTGGCGGTGGCGGCTCGGGCAATGGGGAGCTGGTCCCTTTGGACTCTGTGTCTCTCATTTTCCCTGTCTCCCTCCAGGGCCTCGTCCCAGCTGGCATCCGCCTCATCCCCCACACCGTGCTCACTTTTGTGTTTCTGGAACAGCTACGCAAAAACTTTGGCATCAAAGTGCCATCCTGACCGGCCGTGGGAATGGCTGGGCCGCCAGGCCAGCTGCGCTAAGTTCTTCCAAAGAGTCCCAAGCCCAGCACCTGCTTCTGGGGCCGCAACCTCGCCGGCCATGGCCACCCGTCCTCCCCAGCAGGCCCCTGCTGTCCCCCCACCTGCTGGCTGAGCTCCTCCTGGCCTCGTCCCCTCTCAGCTGTAGCTGCACCCCCACCCCTGCTCTGGCTCCCAGGCTCTCCCGGCTGGGCGCTGCGTGGCCTTGCCCCTCCCGCTGGCAGCTCCTCAGGGGAACAGGGGCTACCAGAGGCTCATTTCTCCCCTCTCCTGGGCCGGGGGAGGGTATTATCCCTGCCTCCTGCCTCTGAGGCCCAAAGCAGCATCTTCCAGCACTTTCCATCGAGGACTCGGGTGGCAGAGTGTGGGTGCAGCCTGGCTGTTGCTCACCCAAGTGCTAGCTGTGCACTTTGTATCCGCTGAGAGCGACCAGACCTTCCGTGTCCTCGGGCAGCTGCACCTCCCCCCAAGACCACACGGCTGGGTGGGAGGAACAGACAACGCAGACCACGAGCGAGTGCCTGGGAGGGAGGGGCCCAGAGAGGTTCTGGAGCCATCATGGGTGAGGGTGAAGGGCCACCAAGGTCCCACGCACCCCCATCCACCCCACAGTGGCTTTAACAGTTTTGCCAAAGCCTCTCCACTCACCAGCAGGCGGTCTCGTCTTCAGGGATTGTGCCAGCGTCCCTCGGGTCCCTGGGTCCTCCCGCTTCGCTCCCTGGGGGAATGGCCCAGGGGAGCTGCAGTTCCTCCTCAGGGTCTTCTCCCGACAAGGAGTCCCCCCGGGTGGCTGCTGCGCTCTCTGCTTCCCTAGTCGCTGGGCTTCGCCCCACCTGGGAAGGGCAGTGTGCTCTGTGGGGGGCTGCAGTCAATAAATGCCGGGAGCTGCCGCGTCTGTTCCTGCCTGCACCGCCTGCCTGCCGGCTGCCTTGCTGTCCAGACCAGCAGGACCCCCTGCACCCCGTAAGGAGGACAAAGCCAAGGCCGCCTGGGGAGGAGCCAGGGTCCTCGCTGTGCATTTGGGAGGCCTTTGGGTGAAGGAATTGTTTAAGTAGGAGGAACCAAAACGTGTTGGGGAGAAGGGAACGAGACGAGGGGTCTGGGGTTGAGGGGTCTCAGGCAGTGTAGAGACTGGACCGCATGGGGCCACCCCACCAACAGCAAGCACTAATTTTTTTTTTTTTGAGAGAGGATCTGGCTCTGTCATTCAGGCCGCAGTGCAGTGGCGCGATCTTGGCTTACTAACCTGGGCCTCCTGGGTTCAAACCAGTCTTCTACCTCAGCCTTCTAAGTAGCTGGTGCTATGGGTGTGCGCCACCACACGTGGCTAATTCTTGTATGTTTTTGTAGAATTGGGGTCTCACTGTGTTACCCTGGCTGGTCCCAAACTCCTGAGCTCAGGGGATCTGCATACCTTGCCTTGGCCTCCCAAAGATGCCCTTTTTTAAAAAAAAAAAAAGACAGGGTCTTACTGTGTTGCTCAGGCTGGAGTACAGTGGTGCAAATAGCCTGTAGTCCCAGCTACTTGGGAGGCTGAGGTGGGAGGATTACTTGAGCCCAGGAGATTTAGGCCACAGTCAGCCATGATTGTGCCACTGCACTCCAGCCCGGACAACAGAGCAAGACCCTGTCTCAGAGAGAAAAAAAAAATCTTTGATATCCTCAAATATCCATTCAGTGCTCAAATTTCTCTGACCGCCATGTGCATTTTGTGAAGAGCTGGTTTTGTTTGAACTGGAGATCAGCGGGAGGTCTGAGGTTTGTACATGGTACCCAGTGCCCAGGTTGGAAATTCACAGCCAGGGACGGGGTGGGTAGGTTCAGGGGGACGGCTGCTGCTTCCTGAGAAACCAGGTGGTTCAGAAAGGCAGCTCTGGCCAGCAAATCCCAAAAACTGCAGATGCAGGGACCACATTCTCAGAGCTGCTTTGATGGGAGCGCTGGAGGAAGTGGCCGTCCTACCAGGGTCACCCCAGAGGCTGGCGTCACCCGCAGCCCTTCCCTGCAGTCAGCCCCACTGGGACAGTGCCAGTCGGGATGAAAGTTCCCAGTCTGGTTTGGCAGGGCCAGGCCTGGCAGCGGACCACCGCAGGGCAGGGTGCAGAGGGTGGGGCGGGAGAGGAGGCCAGTGGGCAGGGCTTCCTACCTACCCTCCACAGAAGCCCCAGCTCCCCAGGGCCAGGGTACAGGCCCAAGGTGGGTGTAGGTCAGAGGGAATGTCAGTCCTGGGGTTTCACGGCCCTTACCCCACAGGCCCTGCAGACTACCTGGCCAGAAGCCGGTCAGTTTCACGCTTGGGCGCCAGGGACAGAGCTGGACCCTGCTGAGTCCGCATTTCAGCAGTCACCTGCTGAGTCAGCAGTCACTTCTGTGCCTTTTTTTTTTTTTCCTTTCTTTCCTCCTTTTGGATGGAGTTTTGCTTTGTCGCCCAGGCTGGAGTGCAGTGGTGAGGTCTCAGCTCACTGCAACTTCCACCTACCGGGTTCAAGTGATTTTCATTTCTCAGCCTCATGACTAGCTGGGACTACAGGTGTGCACCACCAAGCCTGGCTCCTTTTTGTATGGTTAGTAGAGACAAGGTTTCACCATGTTGGCCAGGCTGGTCTCGCGCTCCTGACCTCAAGTTATCCGCCCCCCTCAGCCTCCCCAAAAGTGCTGGGATTACAGGCATGAGCCACCACACCCGGCCTCCATGCATTTTTTTTTTAAGTGACTTCATAGTTTACAGAAAGTTACATAATAATCATTTATTGTCAAGAAATTTCAACAAGGATGCCAAGACAATTCAGTGGGGAAAGAAAAGTCTCTTTTCCCAGTGCAGGGGCTCACACCTGTAATCCCAGCACTTTGGGAGTCCGAGGCAGGTGGATCATCTAAGGTCGGGAGTTTGAGACCAGCCTGGCCAACATGGTGAACCCCCGTCTCTACTAAAAATAGCAAAAAATTGCCCAAGCATGGTGGAGCACACCGGTCCCAGCTACTCGGGAAGCTGAGGCAGGAGAATCACTTGAACCCGCAAGGCAGAGGTTGCAGTGAACCAAGATTGCACCACTGCACTCCAGCCCTGGGCAACAAGAGCAAAACTGTCTCAAAAAAAAAAAAAAAAAAAAAAAACTTTAAAGGACACTATCAGGAAAGAGGGAGACAGCCTGCGTAATGGGAGGAAATCTCTGTAAATCATATCAGATAAGGGACTATGGTCTAGAATATATAAGAAAACTCTTACAAGAAAGACTTTTGTTATTGACACATGATGGGAACGAAGGTATACAAATGGCCAATAAACACATGAAAAACCACTCAGCATTATCAGTTATTAAGGGAATGCAAATCAAAACCACCATGAGATGCCGCAACATCCACTAGGCTAAAATCGAAAGGACAGACGTTGGCAAGTGTTAGTGAGGCTGTGGAGAAATTGGAACCATCCAGCGCTGCTGGGAATGGAAGGTGTTGTGGCCGCTGTGGAAAAGAATTTGGCAGTTCTTCAAAGCGTTAAACATAGAGTTGCCATCTAACCCAATAATTCCATGTCTCTGTATGTACAAAGAGGAAAGAAATGTATTTATGGAAACTTGGACACAAATGGAGATGGGCGTAGCGGTGCGTGCACGTAGCCCCAGCTAGCCAGGAGTCTAAGGTGGGAAGATTGCTTGAGCCCAGTAGTTCAAGACTAGCCTGGGCAAGTTAGGGAGACTCTATCTCTACAAAAATTTTTTAAAAATTGGCCGGGCGTGGAAGCACACGCCTGTGGTTCCAGCTGTTTGGGAGGCTGAGGTGGGAGGATCGCTTGAGCCCGGGAGGTGGAGGCTGCAGTGAGCTGAGATTGCACCACTGCACTCCAGCCTGGGCAGCAGAGTGAGACTCTGTCTCAATAAACAAGCACAATGAAAATGTAGGGCCAGGCGCAGTGGCTCACACCTGTAATCCCAGCATTTTGGGAGCCTGAAGCGGGCGAATCTTGAGGTTAGGAGTTCGAGACCAGCCTGACCAACGTGGTGAAACCTTGTCTCTACTAAAAACACAAAAATTAGCTGGGTGTGGTAGTGGGCACCTGTAATCCCAGCTAAGACTGAGGCGGGAGAATCCCTTGAACCGAGGAGGCAGAGGTTACAGTGAGCCAAGATCCCGCCACTGCAGTGTAGCCTGGGTGACAGTGCGAGACTCCGTCTCCAAAAATAAGAAAGAAAATGTAGCGTTTAGGACACATGCTGAGGTGGTAAAACAAAAAAGGGGGAACAATCCCCATAAAGTCAGAGGGTGTGGGCTGGGAAACCTGTAACTGGGAGGTGGCACCAGTGGTTTCTGAAAGCTTCTGGAATCTGGCTCTGCTCCCCACCATGGCCTGGGCATCACCAATCACTTGACTCTCCGTATTTCCTTTTTTTTTTTTTTAAGACGAAGTTTCGCTCTTGTTGCCCAGGCTGGAGTGCAGTGGTGCGATCTTGGCTCACTGCAACCTCTGCCTCCCGGGTTCAAGCAATTCTCTTGCCTCAGCCTCCCGAGTAACTGGGATTACAGGCACCCGCCACCACGCCCAGCTAATTTTTGTATTTTTAGTAGAGACAGGGTTTTGCCATGTTGGCCAGGCTGGTCTCGAACTCCTGACCTCAGGTGATCGACCCGCCTTGGCTTCCCAAAGTGCTGGGATTATAGGTGTGAGCCACTGTGCCCGGCCTGAACCTCATACCTTAAAACTATTTTTTGTATGTGGCTGGGGCAGTGACTCACGCCTGTAATCCCGGCACTTTGGGAGGCTGATTCGGGCGGATCACCTGAGGTCAGAAGTTCGAGACCAACCTGACCAACATGGAGAAACCTCGTCTCTACTAAAAATACAAAATTAGCTGGGCGTGGTGGCAGGCGCCTGTAATCCCAGCTACTTGGGAGGCTGAGGCAGGAGAATCACTTGAACTCAGGAGGCAGAGGTTACAGTGAGCCAAGATTGCGCTACTGCACTCCAGCCTAGGGAACAAGAGCGAAACTCCGTCTCAAAAACAACAACAACAAAAAAATAATAATAATTTTTTTTGAGATGGGGTCTCACTTTGTCACCCAGGCTGGAGTGAGATGGCACGATAATAGCTCCCTGCAGCTGGAACTTCTAGGCTCAAGTGATCCTCTGGCCTTGGCCTCCCATAGCCCTGGGGCAGCAGGCATGAGCCACGGCCCAGCTAGTTCTCTGAAGTTATGGAGATTTTTATTGCAGTCTCGTAACTGCTGCACTTTTGTGAACCGCTTTCGTGAACGTGTGAGAAGAACACGTGTTGCCTCTCGGTTACACAGTTTAATTTAGGTATTCATGACTTTTTGATTAGGCATGCTAATTGTAATGTGCAAATCTTTTTTTTTTTTTTTTTTTTGGAGACAAGTTTTCATTCTTGTTGCCCAGGCTGGAGTGCAATGGCTCAGTCTAGGCTCACTGCAACCTCCGCCTCCCAGGTTCAAGCGATTCTCCTGCCTCACCCTCCCGAGTAGCTGTGATTACAGGCACCCACCACCACACCCGGCTAATTTTTGTATTTTTAGTAGAGACAGGGTTTCACCATGTTGGCCAGGCTGGTCTTGAACTCCTGACCTCAGGTGATCTGCCTGCCTTGGCCTCTCAGAGTGCTGGGCCTCCCAGAGTGCTGGCCACCGGGCCCAGCCGTAATGTTTAAATCTTATATGTCCTTGTTTGGTTGTGTTGAGCCAACCTTGTAAAGTCTGAGATTGCGTGTGAAGGTCTCTCCCTGTGTTTCTGGATCTGTCCAACCTTCTGTGTACCTCAGCCCTTCCTGACATGATCCAGCCCTGTGTCTATGCTTGCTGCTTTAGACTCAGGTAAACATCTTAGTGACACAGAGCCCACCAGTCTGCCCAGACGGGAGAGGTGGGTGAGTGGTGGCAAACCATGTGACCCAGTTCTTTTTTT